CCACTTTTATGACTAAATGACACAGGTAAAAGTTTTACTTTTCAGACATGGAGTAAAAACACTGCTTTTACGCCTAGGCGTTTTCACTTTTACTTGACACTTACTTTGACATTTACCACTTTTGTCTCTTTCTTGTCTCTTTCGCTTTTACAGCATTTTCTGGAGAGGTACAAGGTAGATTATCAGCATTTGACATTTTGCACTATAAACTACACCAGTGATTCACCAGTTAAATCGCAAATAGTAATAGGTTATAGACCCAGAGCAAACGCGAAAAAGTATATTACATAACGAGCACGAAAAGTGACAATTAACGCACAAGTGAAAAGTCTTATGCACGAGACGTCAGCCGAGTGCAGAAGCACCACGAGTGCGTTAGACACTTTCCAACAAGTTATGTACACTACAGTGCGATCAAAAAATCTTCCTATCAAGTAGGCGTAAGTAGGACGTATGTTGCATGGTAGTTCGTATGTTATCTAGATGTCAAAAAATTATTTTATAAAAATTGAATTATTTTATAAAACGTCTCAAAATATCCTAAAATGAGATTTCGTTGGTGTTTATTCATAAAAATCGTTCACCACGGTTTCCTGTAATAATTTACATAAAAATTATTTTGACATTTTTCATTTGTCATTGTGACATTTTATCTTCCACAGACATACGTTTTAAATTTCTACGCTTGCTTGATAGACAGACTTTTTGATCGCACTGTATTTTTCCCACGGCCCACGACAAAAAACATCATTATTTTCAATGAAACGATTTAATGTTTCTGTTACAGATCTAAGAACGATAGTTATTAAATTAGGAGTTTATTAATATTCAAGACTTACTTAATTAACCCTTAGAGGCCCAGGCGGGGTCTTTCTTGGACCCCGTCTCTACACACTTTTACATATCTTTTTTATTTAGACTTGTTAACAAGACAGTTTTCTGGCATTTGTTATTTAATGTCTCTTGTAGGACAAGATAGAATGTCCTCACAAAATTAGTAGTTTTGGCGTTGTAGCAAAATATAAAGTTATTTGAGGCCTCGTGGGCCCCCCCAGAAAGAGTTTGAATGAAGAAATATTTATTTCAATGTTTCAAAAAAATCATTGACACAATATGAACTCGAAGAAATAGCAGTCAAATAGTGTCATTTCATTTTTACCTAAAGTGTAACGGTGTTTCACGAATTGTTATAAATTGAATGAATTATTGTTAACAATAGTTGAGGTTGAGCTTGCCTAGATGAAAGTTTGTTGATAGTTTGAAAAAATACACCTTTGACAGCTTAGAACATTTCATGAGTTTTCTCAAGAAAAATTTGATTCAAACTCCGACGGTGTTTGTTCATCACTAATTCCTGAAAAATCAAGATTTCGATATGAAAATGTCTATAAAATCTTTAAAAGCTGATGTGAGGAAGAGTTGTAAAATTAGTGAAAAAATTACTGAAAAAAAAAACTACTGAAGACGCCAGAGGATTTACGTTGGATTCAGCAACAGTTTCTGTTAGCGCTACTACCAAAGAAGCCAGCGGAATTACAATTACTACAATTAGAAATTGTAGTGGTTGTACGTTTAATTTTAATATGAAATAATTTGTTGGGATTATAATGTTTATAATAATGTTTATGCTATCAATAAATGTTTTGTGGATTTTATCTGATTAATGTTTGAAATTACTTACCGTTCTAAAACGGTAAGTAAATTACTTTGTTCTGTTTATTATAGAAACCAGTAAATACAACATCATAGGTCTCGAAACAAACGCGGTAACAAACTAAAAAAAAGCGTTCTATAGTGCAAAAAAAAATAAAAATTCAAATAGGGTTCCTAAAAGACTCTGCATGGGCATTTACGAGTATGTTTGTTTCAAACAGATGGGCATTAAGATGGGTATTAAGCTGATGTAGGTTTAAATAGTCAATTTTGCAGGATGAAGAAAATAAAAGTCAAAAGCAATGCACCTGGGCCAACAAACATCCAATCACGCCCAATTTGCCAGACGCGCCGAGGGCTCTCCGCCAAACGTACAACCTCTTCTTACTTTATGTTCATAACAAAGACGTGTGTTAGAAAAATATGCGATTCGTTCGAGATCGTCAACTTTCGTGAATAATTGACTGTATGGAAAATATAGTCGCTTTCTTATATAGTCGTGGCAAAAAATAGTTGAACAAGTAAAGTAGAGACTTGAGTTAGCGCTAAAATTTGCGAAATAAAATAGAAAGTGACAAACTGTGAAAATGGATAAAAATCAGAAGCGAAATATAAAACCATTTAACGAAGAAAAATAAATCGTTTAAAAATTTCATGTTAAAGCATTGCAGCAAATCACGATGAACAAAGTGCAGTAGTGCAAAATACATTAATTGTAGTTATCAGTGACTGTTCGCTAAATTTTGCAAAAAAAAAACAAATTTATACACAACAAATTTTGTTCACCTATAAATGAAGAAGTCTTGCTACGCAAATTGCATGTCGCAGAAAATTATTAACTCTTAAAATGGAAGGTGAAACGCGGTTAACCACACATTTCTCTAAATTTAATAAAAGTCTCTCCGAGTTGATAACTGCAGGAGCAAAACTTGACAAAATGGACAAAGTATCAAATCATCTTGAGTGACGATTTAAATCTTAATTTTGTGAAAACGCGTCTTCTCGATCATGAAACAAAACTAACTAATGACAGAAGCACAAAATTTAACAATGATGAAAGTTTTAAATGCTGGATCTTCAGTTTCATCAAATACCAAAGCCACATCAAAAAATAAACAACTCTCAAAATCGCAACAATAAATTTCAACGTACCTACTTATAAATCTTCAAATATGCGTTGCAATCACTGTAGACAAAATAATCACATAAAAAAAAAACTGCATTTATCACAAGAGGATGATATAAACAAATCAAGATTGCTTGACAAAATTGCTTTACAAGCATGCACAAGTGATACCAGTAGTAAATAAAAGTGAAAAAGGCCTTCTCCAAAATTGTCACTAAAGTGTCATAAAATCGTCAGTAAAGCGCCTAAAATCGGCACCAAAAGGTTTAATTATACTACAATTGTCTGTGTTTCGGGTTACAGTGTTGTCAAATCATTGTATTAATGCAAATATGAGATAAAGACATAATCCTATTGCTAGGTGTGTCTGTTTCTAGTATTAGTTTTTCATTCTTCAAATAATTTTTTTCTGATTCATGGTTTGTTATTTTGAGGTTTGTGAACGAGACGGTACTATTGAAATCTCACATCACTGAACCCATTGAAGTAAACTGCCAATTGTTGTTTAAACTCATTTAACGAGATTTCTGTTGGTATAAACTACAAAATGTAACTATGATACCTGACACCACGTATGATATTTGAACGTATGATACCTGAACATGTCTTCAAACTATCGGCACAATACCTAATTCACAGAAACCGATAAAATACTGAACACACTACGAATGAAATAATGTCATAATATACAAGTCGTGGCACTTCTGCTACTCTTCACAATGTTTTTTTCTGTATGAAAGAGTGGATCTTCTTGACTTAAAATTTATCAGTAGGGTTCAGAGTCTCTTTTTTCAAATATTAACCAAGAAAATAGCAGATATTTACTTTCGCAACTTAGCAACAACAAATGCAAGCAAATATTCCACTCGTGATAATATAACTGGATATTCCACGAGGGTTGCAGTGAATATTGTAAACTAATTTGATTTTTTTACCGGTTGCTATAAGAATGAAATCATGTGTAACTCAAATTTGAGGTTTGGTTCATTGAATAGTCCGTTATAATACAACGTGTAGTCAAAAATTATCGAATATTTTTATGAAAGATCATCGCTTTATGAAGCGCATGCGTAATGACCAAAAATAAAAATATTCTACAATCTTTGACTACGAATTGTAGGTATTCAACAGACTATTCAATGAACCAAATTACAAATTTGCGTTACACATGATTTCATTTTCATAGCAACCGGTAAATAATCAAGTTAGTTTAAAATATTCACCGCAACCACTCGTGGAATATCTAGTTATATTTCTCACGAGTGGAATATTTGCTTGAATTTGCTATTGCTAGGATACGCAAGTAAATATCTACTATTTTATTGGTTAAAATTTGAAAAAAGAGAGATGAATTACATAGTCTATTGAATACAATTGAAGGGGTTATTATAAAAACGTGGCAAGCCACACATTTTTTTTAAATGACAATTTTAATCGATGGTAGCCACTCACAGTCACGAGTTCGGGTATTTTCCAATGTGTGGAGGTTACTGTCTGAGAAGTTGCTTATTAAATTAGCAACCTGTATTTGATATTTCTGGTTGATATTAAAACATAGACCTCTCATTTGTTTTTTTTTTTAATAAACACTTGTAATTTGGCATTGTCTCTTATAGAAGACAAAAATTTAAAACAATATCTCAAAGCGTTCCGGATGTAAAGACTTGAAACAAAGTTAATTTTTTAGACATGGAATATTATGTAAAAGAATCAAATTTAAATTAAAAGAGAATTGAACCTATTCTTTTCCTAAATAACACACGCTTTCTATCCAAACGCCACACGTTTATTGTCATCCTCAGGTGAGGATGGCCACTTTTAGTTGTCAAAACGCGTAGTGGTTAAATAAACTTTTGGTGTGGGTAGATATTGTGTGTTATTTCATTCGCAACACCAAAAGACCCAGAAAAAAAAATTAAAAAAATAAATACTGTCTTGTTTTGTTGTTCTATAAGTAGAATTGCCCACGTGAATGTCTTCGAGTTTGCTACACTGCCCACCAAGCCTAAAAATTTCAAGTAAAAAATTTGGCGATTTCTAAGCAAACATATTATATTAACTGTAAGTGCTATAACGCCATTTGAGCGTCGACAGTAATTCTACAGCTAACGTGTTAATAATCTGGTTTCTTTTTAACAACTACATGGCTAATATAATTGTATTACCTGAACCCTTTGCACATCAAGTTATCTTATACTCTTATCTACAGTAGTATTCTTACCCTTGTGATAAAATGAATTCCCTGAAGACTGCTGAATATGACCAGACGTAAACTGACCTATGGTGCGAGCATGAGAGTATAATGCACTTCCAAAGCTTGGTCCTCCAGGAAACAAAGAATAAACGCCACATTTGTTGAAACCTAGAAATAAAAAAGTGTTGATAAAAAAATTGAGAAAGTCATTTCAAAAATTCCACTTCGTGGAAAAAACACGCAAAAGGTGTTGCTAACAAGAAAAATGTTACTAACAAGAAAGATTAAGAAGGCGAATTCAAATGTGCAATAAAAATGGGTACATTCCTTTTAAAATTTCAAAGTTGGCGACAATTTCTCATAGTTCCCAAAGTTTTGGAAATAATTGAGAATGGTCGATTTTGAATACAAAAATTTTAACCACTAATAGAACTCGTCAAAAGAAACAACTTTTGCCGAAAACACGTCATTTCTGAGTTAAAATTAAAAATAAATTGAGGCTAAAAACCCGTCCCCGCCTATGACTTAATACGATGTTTACATTCATCCATAAAACAAAACAGCAAAACGTAAACAGCGTAAAGACAAAAAATTATCGCTACATTAGGGTAGATCAGTGTCAATGTGAGTGGGTCAATACTTGCTATTATGCTATTATGTCCCCCTGTGTCGCCAAGGGCACGTCCTCCACCAAATCAGACAACACATTTCCCAAAAAATCCAGGTAAACGGCACTAGTTAAACGTTAAGGTAAAATGTGGGGTTCAATTAGGTTATCTTTACAAATATTTAGTGAAAATCGGTCTTGTAAGTGATGCCCGTACATCAGTCAATTCGACGTTGGAGTTGGAGAGCGTTGACAATGACTTGATTTACAATTTGCACGATTGATCCGAAAGCGCATTAACGACTGACTAAACTGACTGATAATTTTTTGTTCTTATCTCTTTTTTGTCCAGAAAAACTTTCACGGTCAACATTCAATGCAAATCATTTTCATTGATATTTTACAACTAAAAAGGACAATCACACTAAACGGCTCGTAAAAATAATGGGGGTAAAATTTTGGATACGAAATTTGTTTGATCTTTAAATTCGACTCGAAATTGTATCTACCGCACGTGTAATGTAAATAACTATTACAACATTCAGTTTTATTAAAACTTCACGCTGTAAAATTATATCGAGCGAACAAGATAATTTGTAATCGATTCATCTCTGCATCCGAAAACGTATGTCTAACTGCCCATGAAACGTCAAATAAAATGACAAGTCGGAAGGTAAAACAGCAAAATGGGCTGGAATTAGTCGCCGACGATTGGTACAAGTTTCATCGCGATACGACTTCAAATGCCCGAGATATCGAGGGTTTCTCGTTCGAAAAAGTAAAACCTATACAGAAAATTTTTTGAAGAAAAAACTTTTCTTAACAAGAAAGCTGTATCCTAAATTGTAACTCTGTTTAATGTTATTTGTGGCTTATACAGGGTGCCCATTTTTGCACTTCCTTGTATTGAGAAGAGAAGTGTTTAGGATACTCTATGAGGATTAAGCAGGTAGCTGGCCATTTGAGTTGGGTGATGACACCCATAAAGTGATTAACCCTGTTTCCAAATATTTCAAGATTTACTACAACGCGTTGTGACAAACATTCTAAAAATGGCATGCAAGGATTTCCAAATTAGGAGTTGCGAACAAAAAGTCTATCTATCAAGCAAGCCTGTCTGCGGAAGATAAAATGTCACAATGGTAAATAAGAAATGTCAAAATAATTTTTTTGTAAACTGTAACAATAAATCGTGGTGAACGATTTGTATGAATAAACTCCAACTACATCTCATTTTAGGGTGTTTTAAGACGTTTCATACAGTAATTCAATTTGTTTAGATCAATATTTTAATTTTTATAAAATAATTTTTTGACATCTAGCTGACATATAAACTTCCAAGCGACATATGTCCTCAACTAGTACGCCTACTTAATAGAAAGACTTTTTGATCGCACTGTAGATAGGTAAACTATCAATATATAACGTTTCATTGTCGAACGACCAAGCGGACACAAAAACACAAGAAATCAATCTTAAAATTATAACCTCTTCGTTACAGACTTATAACTATAACGGAAACTACCTTGCGCAAACCCTCTATTGTTGACATTAAAAATTCTAAATATTCAATAGAAGAAAATCAGAACTGATAGATGACACTGACAATGTCAATAAAATAGAGAAAACAAGCAAAAATTAGCTGCAAGAGTTGAATTCCTCAAGGCCTATGCTCAAGACCAATACAGAAGTTGTCTACTACTTCTACCACTACTACTACTATTACTATTACTACTACTACTACTACTACTACCGTGCGATCAAAAAATAAAAATAAATTAGAGTAGGAGACGATTAATATTCTATAGTTGGCAACACATTGGCTGGGATGGAAATTTTCCACACAAACTGAAAATGAAATTGACCATTCACCGTTTTTGTATTGTACAGCATTTTTGTAATAACTTGTAACAATAAAAATTTTCTACTCTAAAGTGAATATCATTCCACTCAAAATAAATAAAACGCAAACTTGTCAAAGTTTCCACTGACATTTAATGTCAAAAATCAAGATTGCCATCTGAAGGATTTTAATCACCGCCTACTCTGAATTATTTATTTTTTTGATCGCACGGTACTTCTACTACCACTATAATAACAAATTATCAAAAATTAAGATTCGACCAACAGATACGTCAAAATTTGACAGTCATGACAAATATTGTGACAAGTAAGTAATGACAATTATTTGACAATTGTTTTCGTTTTTTCAGTAGTTAAGAAAAATCCATTAGAGGTCAGCCACTTAGCCGATTTATTACTACAAAAGACTCTTTACTCTTCAACATCATAAAACTTTCAGCAAGAAAAATGTGGGTATAGAATGTCCAAATGTCCAATAACACTTACTGTCAGCAGTGAAATTACTAGCAGGAGCCGGTGCTGGAGCCAGGGGCCACAGACCTCGTTGGTTTGGTCCCCCCGGCCCAGCTGGGCTGCCCAACATAGTTAGCTCGCCCTAGGATCCTGGAAACGATCTGAAACAAAACAATGTCCATTTATCACCTACTCCTTTAATGTCAATGTGCAGCGTCAATGTAAAATTATAACAACAATTTGTATTTTGTTTTCTATTTTATTTAATTTAAATGTTATGTTTCGACCTCACATCCTAAAACACGCCTTAAGAAGTCAAGGACATAAAACGAAATAAAAAGAGAGAAAAACATCCATGTCATAAAGCTACGCCCACGACGGATGGGAGTTACGTAAGTCGTTACAAAAAGCTTGATAAATCATACAGAAGCCTGTACCATAGCCATCACCACCCTGGCAATGTCGCAACTGCATTTTTTGAAGTGAAATAGGTCAGAAACATTTGATTTCTGTGTAAAACAAGAATCTATATTGCAACTGAACCCTACTGACAAATTTTGAGCCAAAAAGCTCATCCACTGACAGCAGTGGCGATGGGTGTAGCACGACATATATTAATGTAACAAAAAAATGGCAACACTGAATTATTAGTAAAGTTTGACTATCTTTACTTGAATTATATGGTTTTCACTTATCAAACTAGTTTATAAAGGTTTTAATAAGGGTGGTTCGAGATAACGTCGAAAGAAACAAACTTACAGAGTAGTATTGTTGGATTTTTGTAGTAGTTTAACGTCAAATTATAATACAAATTTTAGTTTAAAAAATTTGTAAAACTGCAATGACAATACAAAATCGAGTTTTAACATTTTTTCATAAAAAACTAATGCGAAAATCTTTTATTTATTTCTGTAATAGGAGCGAATACGACCCTGGAAACTTGTCCCGTAGCACGCTTTGGGTTACAATAAACTTACAATTCAGGGGCTGGAGTTCCCTTATCGCTAAAGTCCCAAAGCCTCTATTGCATCATGAAATTCACGCAAAAATGACAACTTTTGACTTGCGCACTGTTCATTCATTTAAGCGAAAAATTCAGAATATGTCATAAAAGGTGTTTGTAGCTCCACCAAGAACCTAACATTGCCGGTATAGGGCAAGTTGTTTCTCCCTCCACGATTAAAACAAATAATATCATGCGAGCAATGAAATTTCTGATCAAATTGGTATGACATTGTAATATGAATCGTTACGTAAGTAACTATTATTATTATCGGTTTCTGTCTGTTAAGATAAATAACAACGTAGTGTTTTGTGTATTTGCAAAATAATTTTGACAATGTGTTATAATACTTACAATACATCATGGTGTCTCAAAAAAATAACCAGTAACAGAATAGATGCAATAATTCTTAATTTTATTTCTTGCATTTTTTGAGACTCTGTATTTATTAAGTGTGTATTTGCTTTGAAAATACTACAATGCAATCAGGAGTATCAAGTACTGTGCGTAAATACAAAGTTGAGCGGTAGGGAAAGCTTACGAGCTCGGCAGATAACTCGAAAGTCATGAAAAACAATTGTAAAACTTTTTTTTTAGTAATTACGCAAATAATGAATGGGATTATTAATCAAAACCTATAGGTAAAAACTAGCTACGCCATTGCACTTTGTACATACATGCGATACAAAAAACCGGTAGCAAACAGTCAGAAGGTGTTCCAGTTGCCCATGTTAAAAGGAATTAATCTGTCGCGACGTAATGCGTATTAACGAAGTTGCACGTACTATAACGTTCCGGTGGATGAATTTACACCAATTTACTCTTGAGGTGAACTATAGTTATCACAGCGTTTTGTTGAAATAGGGGCACGCGTTTTAAATTCTTTACACTCTTTACACCGCTCATCTTTCAATTTTCGAACTGTAGACGACTATGTGACACCGTATGTGCTAGCCCTAAGCAAAAAAATATGTTTTAAAAGTACAAAAATTGAAAACTAAAATTAAACCAGCTGTTATTGCCGTTGCCGTTTCGCTATTGACATTTTATCTCCGACATTTGTTTCTAATTTCTAGACTTGCTTCGTAAAGGGTTTTAGTCTCACTGTATGTACTTATAGAGTTACTTCCTATAAATAGAAAAAATAAATCGAAAGTATCAGTTTGTCGAAGTGTTTATGTAGCCATAATAAACCATTTAGCAAATTATACCATCCAACTGGATACGTGCTTATTTTCTAAAATCATAGGATCACATTGGAACAGTATCGCTGAATTTTTTATTTGTTCCTCACTTATAAATAACTAATCAGTCGTGCCACAACAATCGCCACTTCTATCACTTTTCACAATGTTTTTTCTGTATGAAAGAGTGGAGAGCTTCTTGGCTCAAAATTTAGAAGTAGGGTTCACAGATTCTTCTTTGACACAGAGATTAAATGTTTTTGATCTATTTCACCTCAAAAACGCAGTGGCTATGGCACAGGTATTATTATAAACATTAAAAATTTTAGAAATTTTGGCACTTGAAAAAAATTATTCTGACATTTAAAAAAAAACGTATGAGCTTTATATGTAATAACTAGTAAAGATATCACTTTAACTGACAAGACAGTAAAGATGAAAATTTTTAAGGTGAATCTAATGACATGAAAACTGACGTTTACAAATGAAAAACAAATAATAGTTATTTATTCGTCGAGTTTGAGTGTAAATCGGACTCTTTATTTGATCGAGTGGATTTTTAAACCACGAGTGTAACGAGTGGYTTRCCATCCACGAGGTGGAATAAAGCGTCCGATTTACACTCAAACGAGTGGAATACAACATTTTATTCTTCGAATTAGAGTCAACAAGGCTTAAACTTGCTTTAAATCTGTTAAAAATAATTTGACGTTTTGTATTGAGAAATGCCAAACAGATGTCAAAACTTCCTTACAGGGGAAAAAACCGTAAATTTTGACAGTGTCGAAGAATAAAATAATTTACTTAGAATTTTAATTTGCGGTACTGCAACTCACTATGACTACACCTTTTTCAAGTGTAAATCAGAAACCATCATATGTAATTCAAATTAGTCAATTTAATTTCAGAACGCGTAAATTGTAATTTAGATTAGTCAATAGTCTTTCAGAAAGTGTTAATTGTAATTCAAAAGAGTATAAAATGACTTTCAGAAACCATGAGATGTAATTCAGTTCAGTTAATTTAATTTCAGAAAGCATAAATTGGAATTCAAAATAGATTAGTCAATTGTATTTCAGAAAGTATTAATTGTAATTCAGAAACCATTACATGTAATTCAGAACAGTAAATTCAATTTCATGTTACATGTAATCCAGAAAATATCAATTGTAGTTCAGATGAGTAACTTACTGTTATCTCAAAATGAAGTTTTCCTACGACCATATACGAAACTAAATCATAATGCACAATTACATATGGCGAAAAGTGGCAATATCGTTCGAGGTCAAAAACCTGTGCGATTTGTTTTCGCGCTGTGTGTTAGAAATTCACACAATTCACACTCTAATATTTCGTATTTTTTCATTCAACGTATTTTTTTTGTATCCATTATAAAAAATAATTCGTTATTCAACATATTTTTGTATCCATTATAAAAAATAAATCGTTATGAAAAAAAATAGGTTCCTAAGAAAAAAAATATTTATGGTCGTAGGAGAAATAGTGTACAAAACTTGCAAGAAAGAGTCTAACTCACTCGCGGGATTGTCTGCACTCGGCTAACGCCTCGTGAGCAACTTTCTCGCTTGTGCGTTATTTATCACTTTCCGTGCTCGTTATGTAATATACTATTGCACATAAGCACGAATTATTTCATTTTCAAAACTAAAGAACTGCATAAACTTGGTATTTTACAAAATAAATAAGATATTTTATTTTCACGGTAATTTTTAAATAAAAATAACGAATTCTGCATTACAATTGATGAATTCTCAATTTCAAATGACAAACTCTAATTAAAATTTAACGTTTTCTAAAATTGACTCGTACTTATTTCTGTTGGAAAAAAATTTTTTTTTGCTACAGGCCATTAGAAAACGAAACAAAAAAGCTGTATCCAAAATTGTAACTCTGTGTATTGTTATTTATGGATTTTATTGGCAAAATTTTTGTACCTACCTTTATAAGAAAAAAATATACACAAGATCATCAGTATCATTAAATAGACATAAAAAATGTCAAATGTCAAATAAATGTCAAAATTTTTTGACAAATAGAAATTTTTAAACATTTATTCAGTACTTTGGGAAACTACCCAACTACTCCCTTTCAATGAGGTGCGCAACTTTCCGGACAGGCTGTATATCTTACGCTTTCTGAATTACACTTGAAAAAGATGTAGTAGATAAAAACAATTTATTCTGATCTGCATTTTGAAAACACAAATAAATCCTTATTGTGCTTGTTTTCTTTGAGTTAGACATTTGAACATTATTCGTTTCATTTCGCTAAACAAGTAAGGCCACAAAGGTTAAGTTTTATTGTACCTACATGTTCAAAAGATTGGAATGCGTAAATTTACTTTTACTATTAATTGATTGCAAGTGCGAAGGGATGAAAGCAATGTGTAATAAAATTCTAACTAGTTAAATCTCCGAACGGAGAAAAAGCTGCTCTTCTCTTGATTTTTGGAAAATGTGCAAATTAAACGAACCACCAATAACAGCGATCGGAACCTATAAATTGTTCAAAAGCAGCGATAAAATAAAAAAAAAACACAACGTTTCAACGGCCACTTTGATCTTTCTTTTACGACTCTGCTGACCTTAAAGTCTCCAGTCGCTTTAAATTGGTGCAAATAATTTCATTATAACCTCATATTTTTTGTTTGGTCATGATCGGGCAAGTTTTGGTATACTAGTACTTGTACCCCTGTAACTCATACGAAACCAAAATACTGTACAACCTAGTAGGTATTTCAGGTGGTTACTAAAGAGGTCAAGATCTACTACCATACCAAGTTTGGTCACGATGGGGTAAGTTCTCTTAATCTTAGTGATGCGTTTTGGGATATTTAAATATATGTAACTCCGAAACCAAGAAAATGCACAACCTAGTATTTTAAGTGGTTACTAAAGAGGTCAAGGTCTACCACCACACCAAGTTTTGTCCGAAGACAAAAATAAATCACGAG